TCAGGCCTTCAGCTCTTTTAAGCACACCAACTCGCTCCATCACACCAACAAACCTCACACAGGAGAAGCTGTTTCAGCACTGGTTGTGTTCATATTAATGTGCTGCTTGAAATTGTAAAGTGCAATTTTCCCCATGGTTTCCTTCCCAGCCACGGGTTTGTTCGGCCTACAGGGTAACTTTGGGATAGGAAACTAAACTAACTTCTGAGGAAACCAGCGCAGTGGCTCTGAACTCCAGGTTCACAGTGAATGTGCTCTAAGTCCTCGGTGGGAACAGAGGGATTCAACCCAATGATCTGCCTTGTACCACGGGTAATGGGAAAGTTTGGTTGAGGGGCTAAGATTTATTTTAAAGTAGACTCCAAAATGCAAATAATGCAGATATAGAGACTTCACTACCAAATTCTAAGATTTCCTGATCTACTCTTATTGCTCCGATATTACTTGTTAAAATAAGCACAGACATCATCTGCAGCTGAAGAAAACAGCAGATAAAAAAATCAGTATTTTAGATTATACCCTGAATAATTGTGATAAAAGCTCTTTTTCTAACGGCTTAGCTCAGCATGCAGCATATCAAAAAGTGTTTAATATTTTGCATTACTTTAAAACACTACATGGTTTCAAATAATTCTTTCTTTACAAGCAAGAAGGCCCAACTGAATGCAGAATTTATCATTTGAAAACACATGGCTGCTCCTCATCCTTAAACTGTTCATGCTACATGCATCTATAAGTACATAAGGTACTATTACCACCAGATTTATTGAACAAAAAACTAAAGGACTAAATTGTCAGACCGTATTACACAAGTATAATGATGATCTTCATGAGATTAACAGCCTCCCCTGAAATGATAAACATCGTTAAGGACAGAATAACATTTACCTGACTGGTATCTGAAGGCACTGGGTATGCGCAGTACTTTAAATCACATGAAAACTGAAACTGTCTCCCTACCTACAATAAACCTGAGTTTCAATGACCACCTGCCCATGCTTCCCCTAAAAGCTACCAAGCCTTCCAGCATGAGAGCCTCAAGGCCAGTTACAAGCACCCATAGCATTCCTTTGCTCCCTCCTCCGCTCTGGTCTCACCTCTCCTTACCCAAGGAGAGCTCCCCTCCTCCTCCTCTTTCTTCTCCCACTTCTCCTTTTCCTCTCCTTGTGCTGGCCTACAGCATCAGCCAAACAGCAGAGCTGTTGGCTGGCACTTCTCAGAGGATCCTGAGACAGACTCCAAGACCCAGAGGCAGATGAAACCCTCCTAAGATAAGCGGTGTTTTCTGTTCCTCCATTTTTATTTCCAGGCAACCTGTGAGTGTGGGACTATAATAATGAGTCAAAAGACTCACAGGGCCAAAGCCCAGTCACAGAACTGGGCACCAACAGCTTAAACAGATCTCTAGTCATACTCCCATCCACTGTACACTTTTGAGGCAGACAGTATCTCAGAGTATGTTTATGAAATAATTTTTTGAGGAAAAATATGAACCTGCAATCACTTTTTGGCCCTTGCAAATAAATTATAATCTATAAGCAGTTTAGCAAGCAGCTTATAAAAAAGCGGGCTAAGTATCTTTCAATGAAGGAGAAAGCTATTCTACCTAAATACGGAAAATACATCTAGTGTGAAAAAGTACTGTTATTTTGGTCAGTGGATACTATCTATTTTCCTATCACTAATTAACAAGTAGCAGAAGTACTTCATGTCTAGCTACATCCTAAGATCCACCTGAGCAACACAAAGAATACAAGCGTGGAATATTTGGAAGGACTGAGGTGCAGGGCAAGGGGAGCAAAGCCCAACACTCGAGATTCCTCCACTCTGTGGATAACTCCACATGCTGCTAGAACAGTATGTGCAACTTACACTTCAACTGTATACACAGTGATACACTTTTTAGTCCTTTATTCAGTCATATTATTCATAGGTGCAACTTTTTCCTCATTCACTGAGGACAATGGCATTGCCATTGTGGTCTGAGGAATTTGCTTCTACTGTAGCTGCACTATCTACAATTCCTGGTACTAATCTGCACATCCCTGTTCTTTTTATTTCTGATCTCTCCCCACTCTGACAAAAGGTACCAAAAGGCACAGAAAGTCCAGGAAAGAGTAAAGGAGACCTGTGAATTCCAAGCACACAATCAAGCCAGTGACCTGACATTTTGGATGATCTGAGATTAAATATATGCCTATTTGAAGGAAAACAGGTATTTGTGAAATGTTTTAAAAACACACATGTAAGTATAAAACCACTTCTAATGATACAGGAGTTCATGCAATACTACAATTCAGTATTTTAAAAATCTACATAATGTCTTTGGAAACTGGTATTTTTAAAACATTTCCCTTTAAACTGGGTGTTACTGGAGAAAACAAAAGTATTTATATAAAGTTTGCTATTAGCTTGAGAGGTTACAAGAATAAGACAGATATACAACTGGCCAAACCTTTTACCTGCAGGTAAGCTCTAATAAATACGGCCAAAACTATAAATGAATCTAAACCACTGCTTTTAGCCTGAGCCTCTAGGGAAGCTCTGTCCAGATTTTAAAATTAATTTATGCTTTTGACATGACTGCTGTTGCTTTATGCCACTTATCAGACATGTGTTCATTACTAAAGAAAAAAAAGCAGTTGTATATGTACAGTTGTATGCAGCTGCTGAAAATCTGATTTTTAAAAAAGATACACAGTTGGAAAAACTTTTTCCTTTTCATTGGTTATAAAAAGTGACAGACGCTTAGTACATTTTCCCATGTCATTTTTTTTGCGGAAAGCCAAACGTCATCCCCGTTAGCAACATGACTTCTAAGAAAATAAATTAATAAAATGCAGCATATTTTAAAATAGCTAATGAAAGATGCTTCCAACCAATAACACAGCTTCATACCTTTCTTAGGAGATAACAGAACTACATCTGGATTTTATCCTCATCAACTGACATGAAGGTTAATCAACTTCTCATTTCATTTATTTTGTTTTTTTTTTAAACAAATCATGGTTTTATCCTTTCCTCAACCAGGAAGTTAAAAGCACATTACCAATAAGAAGTTTATTTTGTCTGGTGAAAATGTATACAGGAGACTGCCAAGAGTCCCTAGTGATCTTTCAGATACAAGTCTGGTAAGCTTGGAAGAGGGAACTAGACAAAAATGCAGAAGATAAAAAAAAATTATAAATGTAGTTTGACAAAATATCAAAATTATCTCACCAAATCAGTAGCTCAGAAATTCTTCATCATCCATGAAACACAGAAATATGATTAAATAATCCTTAAAAAACTTCATATAAACTGGAAATTGTATGAAACACTGAAGAGGACAAGAAACAGCAGATGTTGCTATTGTATGAAAAGGCTGGTGCACACACAGCGCATGTTCTGCACAGCAACATTCAGGATACACATCTTCAAAAGGCTTGCATGAATTCCTCTTGCTCTGCCACCACACTTAAAGATCCATTTTTTAGAAAGGTTTAGAGTACTTTTCCTGAATATGAGTTGGGTCAAAAAGAGTCCTACCTACAGCCTATTCCAGAAAATTTAGAAACAGGAAGACTGGAGATCATAAATCAAAACCATTCACAGATTTGTGATAAACTCACACTCACTAAAATGGCTACTGATTGCAGGAAAGCAATATATTTCCATCTTACTCAGCTTATATCAAATTAAGACTAGTACCATGCCCCTCAGCTGGGCAGAGCAGTTTCTTATTTCCAGCAACAGCTTAAAAAAAATTAAAACAACTTTTTTTAAAAAGCAAGTCTCATAAGATGAGCAGCAGTGACAAAAGCAGCACTCTATGCCAAAACACTTTTAATAATGTAAATTAAAACTGAAAGCAAAGGCACTAACTGTGAAAACTGCTAAAATCTTGATTTGCTTTTGTACAAGATGCTGAAAAATGTTAAAATAAAAAGTGTGACAGATCTGAGAGTTTGAGGCAGAATGCAAAGCTCTAAGAAACACAACCAAACCACTCCCTTAAAGATTTCTATTCAATGTGTTGTCAAGACTCTAACTTAGTGAAGTATATGTTAAACCAAAGAGCGAAATAACAGCCTGAGAAACTTCTTGCAGTTTTCTGCAGCTTGCATTCTTTAGCTGGTGAAGTGAAACACTGTTTATTCTTATCGAGATTCCTCTAGGCTATGAGCTTCAATAGGGAAAGGTGAGAAAATACTGTCCTTGACATCTCAAGAAAAAGTGCAACTATTCTATCATATCTTTGGGAAAGCAGCACAGACACCAGCTATTTATCTGGATATTGCAGATGCACATGGTTACAAAATTTACCTTAAGCTATACCCTTCCCTGCTTCTTTTTCTTTAAAAAAGAACTGTTTAGAGAAAGAACGTATGAATTTCAATACATTAATTTGATGTCAGAATCCAACCAAACCAACCAATCTTTGAGACAAAACCCTCACTTCCTGCTTCACATATATATGATATTCTTTCAAATTCACATCGCTGTACACTTTGTTGCCTCTCATCTCATTGAACTACTTTGTTACAATTTTTTAACACAGATATACACTTTGCATTTCCATTTCTTATCAGGGAAGCTCCACACGCTCTCAGAACAGTATTTGACACAGGATAATGAATATTTTGTTGAGCGAGATCAGCATAGAGTGTTTCTGGAAATACTTGTCAGAGGTGTAGCAGGAAGACAAATTCAATCCCATATTCCACTGTCTGCTAATGACATTTCCTTTAGTTCTTCAAAACACAAGTCATACACACAAATGCAACATTCCTATAGTAAACATTATAATTTCAAAATGATTTGAATATCTTACTATCTCAACAACTTGCTGTGTCAGGCAAACAGCTTAACACTATTAGTCTAATTCTATATATTTACTTGAAGTCTGTAATTTCTTCAAGCTACTGCTTAAAATGAAATGCACTATACACAAGGTTCCATGCTGCCTTACTCAGTGAATGGCCATGTCAGCATTTAAATGAAGCACTTTTCTTCCTTACCTCCAGATGCTCTAAAATATAGGGAGGGTTTGTCATGCCAAGCCTCAGCATAGCTCCCTCAGGAATAACTTCAACCAGCTTCCAGAGAAGCGTAGGGAGGTCTGTGCCAATGTCTCTGCCATAAGCCCCTGTGTCTTCACTGGTCAGCCATATCTCACAAACACCCTCTGTGAATAAAAGAAAGAGATAATTAACAAATCTGTTTTAGAGCTGTTTATTTTATCAAACAGCTGCTCACTCTTTTTAATGCAGTATTTCACAAGGCTATTATGCAGCCAGACTGGGTATTCAGTTGCAAGGGGGAGGGAAGGAGGAGGAAGGCTTATCCCATGGGTAGCAGTGGGTTATTAAGTTCATTTTATGAGCACAAGAGTGCTACAACAATGCTGTAAATTATCATTGCTGTGGAGTGATTAACATTCACAGCCAATGACTAATTCTGTCCTGCCTCTACAGAGAGTCAGTCAAGTCTAGTACTCTGCTCTATTTTTCGAGCCTAATTCGTTCAACACCGCAAGCAACATTACCCAAGCAAAGAGTCTGCATTAATGGTTGTTACTACCAGTTAACTTATCAATGGGTAAGCTTTCAATAAGCAAAAATAGCTCTAAAGTGCAGTGATTAACATTGCTCCTGGAATAACTATTAAAAACTTGTATTCTTTAAATGATACAATTAGCAATGCAATAATAAGATTGTACTGAAAAGGTTAGTTGCCACTGCATGACTGAGTAATAGTGTTGGAAAATCCGTTTCCTGCCAGTTAATACTTTATTTTCCATCAATCGGGGCCTTAGGAAGTAGAATACTTGATTTGTGTCATAAAGAGTAGTGACCCCAAACACTGCTATTTGGTAATCGTATCCTCCTGCTCAAAGAGGAGAAAGACTGCACCGCCCTTTAATAACAGTGGAAAGCAATGAGGTTTCACACAGCCACTTCTATCAGTCTGCCCAGCTTCCATCCTTTTTGCAATGCCATCTATGCCCCTCCTCGCCACCCCAAAGCAAGAAATAAGCCATCAAAAACAAGGTGGCTGGGAGGAAGATTCCTGTGATGGCCTTCCATCATAGAAGGGGGCTTAGGAGGAAGCTGGGGAGGAACTGTGTACAAGGGCATGGAGCGATAGGATGAGGGGCAATGGTTTTAAACTAGAGCAGGGTAGATTTAGATTAGGCATTAAAAAGTTCTTCACTATGAGGGTGGTAGATCACTGGAACAGGTTGCCCAGAGAGGTAGTGGAGGCCCGATCCCTGGAGGCATTCAAGGTCAGGCTTGATGGGACTCTGAGCAACCTGATCTGGTAACATTGTCCCTGCTCACTGCAGGGGGTTGGACCAGATGATCTTTAAAGGTCTCTTCCAATCCCACTCATTCTATGATTCTCAGTGAGATAAGACACCATTAACACAGTGAAGAGCTAAATTTCTAATACCAATGATGAACCAGTAGAGAAAATACCCAAACACTAGAAGGTGCATAATTCATCAAAGCGCTGTTTGGACCAGCAAAGAATGTATAACAAAATGCAAATGCTTATATTACAAATATATACTTAAGATGGGGAAAACATAAACATGGACACTGACTTTAATTACATATAAAGAAATAAAACCAGAAAACCAGAAGTTTTACAAAAATGCAAACTCAAGACTGTCACTTTCAAACTCAGAGTATAACAAGAACAGTGGACAGCAGCCTATGCTGAGCATCAAAGTAATTCTGTTTGTTCAGAAAGATTTTCAAGGTCATTTATTATTTAGAACTAAGAATACTTAAAAATTAAAGGGAAGCAAACTTATCACTTCTTAAGTTTTGCTTCAAGAATAACTTAGTGCATTAAGAAGTCTGTTGGAAAGCATTCTTGAAGTAGTGCTCTGTGGTTATCTCACTCACAGTCACAACCCTGCAGTCACACTCAGACTGAGCTCCCCTCTGCCTGACCAGGTACGCAGCATTTGCTTGCAATGTACAATCACACCTTGCATTCCACTGCATTTGCTAATGTTTTCAGAATTCGTCTCACCACAGGCAGTACCACACTACAAAACATGCTCTAGAGTTTGCTACCTGCCCTACCTTTTCCTGAGATATGGAAAAAAAAAAGTCAATTATATATCAGTTACATTTAAAAAAAAAAAAAGAAAAACTTAAAAGATCTAAATGATGACTAATGTCCTCCTGTGCTTATATCAGTCTCCAATAGCCATTAGAACACTGCAAAACAGAGTAATTTGCTTGCTGAGCTTCTACTGAAACAGAGTAATTCTCATTTTTAAGCTTTCAGTCTAAGTGGCTGCATGGGTTTTGGGTTTGGCTGTGGGGTTTTTTTGTTAGGTTTTTTTCATGAAAATGGCTGATGGAATACTGCCTCACAGTTACCAGATGAACACTGAGGAAAAAAAATAAATCACTGGCTAGGAATGGAAATAACATTCCTGTGGAAAACAACAGTGAGCTTTTAAAGCTGTATAGGTGGGGACCATTAGCCTCCTGGTGGGCTGAAACTTCAAATTAAATCACAAGAAGAGGAAGCAGCTGTAACAGTAAATCAGCAACAACAGGAATAACTGTCTCATCTACTCTCCGATCGGGGTGTTGAACAACAAGCAATGGGAATAATTCATGCAGAGGGAGCCAAGGATGCATTCTTAATACAAGGGGGACAGGGATGGACACCTGTATTTTAGGAGAAAGTTCATGTCCCAGTTTCCGACTGAGAAAATGGATTTTCAAATACAGAAAGCTATTTTCAGTGCTAAACATTTACAAGCAGGGTAAATCAACTTCGCACACAGCCATGTATAACAGAGGTTTGCTGTCAACTGTTAGGCTGTTTATTCTGGTCCCTTCTGAGTTTAGGAGTCTAAATTTACACCAGCTAAGAGGAGAAAACAACAGACCTCCCAAACAGTATTAATAAAGTGAACCAACTCTTCCTATTCTCACTCAAACCCCTTCCCCTCCAAACTCTAGCCCTGTGTAGGAACCCATTTAAATCCACTGGCTAATCACATCCAGTATTCTTTCCCTTTCTTTTGCAGTGAACCTCACTGGATCGTTCAGCATTCTGTTACTGGGTAATTTGGTGCTAATAAAAGCAAGCTGATTTTGTAAACAAGAAAATTGATCCAAACTGCAGAGTTTGGATGTGCAAACTCAGAGCATTTGTTACAGTATTAAGGCCAATTATCATTATAGTCAAGTAATTACAAGGCTGCCTTTGGTCACAGCTCGGAGTTTATTTCTCATTCTGCCATCACTACCCAGCACAAAAGAGGAACCTCAGCAGCTGCCTTCTGATGTCTGCTGTAACTGGAGATGACTGAGAATGAAAAATGTTGGAAAAAGAAAAGGTTCCAAGTAAATGAAGGAGGTTCTCAGCCCATTCCTTCTCCAATGTCTCAATATAAAGAACACTCACTGCAGATTATCTGAAATGGGTTTTAGCTTCATTTTTGTAGGGTAGCCTAAAAAAATCCTTGTCATAAAGAAAAGGAGAAATCCTGTAGTTGTCACGTAAACGAGATATGTGCACTTCTGTTTTAGAGACCACTTGAAATGATGCATTTCTTAAATAAAAAGTTTCTAGCATTTTTTATTTCACTTTATTTTCATGCCACTATTGTAAACACTGTTTATCTTTTAAATTGAAGGGAAATCTACTCCATCTGAAAAATTAATTTACTTCAATCTACAAAAACATCTGAAGATGTTAAAATATCAGGCACTAATCCTG